TTGGAAGGAGCCATAGAGATCATTTCCTTCCACCACCCCACCAAAGCAGCCACAGCTGCCCCCAAAACCACCTCAGCCCTTTTAATGTCACTCTGGGATGGGCTGTGGGACCACCTAACTCCTTCTTCTGTCTTCCCTCCAAGCTGGACAAGATGCTGGACCCTCAGGTATGGCGTGAAGCAGCCACCCAGGTTTTCTTCGCCCTGGGCCTGGGTTTTGGGGGAGTCATTGCCTTCTCCAGCTACAACAAGCAGGACAACAACTGCCACTTCGATGCCACCCTCGTCTCCTTCATCAACTTCTTCACATCTGTGCTGGCCACCCTGGTTGTGTTCGCTGTGCTGGGCTTCAAGGCCAACATCATGAACGAGAAATGCGTGGTGGAGTAAGAGTTGCTTTTTCTCTGTTTGGGGTGGGCAGGTCTTTGCTGATGCCAGCTGTGATGGGTCTGGAGCTGGATGATGCTGGGGTTTGGTGGGCCCAAGTTCCTGATGGTCAGGAGCTGGATTTCCAGGGATGTGCCTCTGTAGCTGAGGGAGTTGGACATTCAGCTCCTCCAGGCTAAAATCCAGCCCCAAGATGGGCTCAGTCTGCAGCTGGGGTGTGAATCCAACGTGTCTCAGGTGCCCTGCACCACCTGAGAGGTTCTGCTCTCCCTTAGGAACGCTGAGAAGATCTTGGGCTACCTGAACACCAATGTGCTGAGCCACGACCTCATCCCGCCCCACGTGAACTTCTCCCACCTCACTGCCAAGGACTACAACGAGATGTACAGGGTGATCATGACGGTGAAGGAGGGGCACTTCAAAGAGCTGGGCCTGGACGCCTGTCTGCTGGAGGATGAGCTCAACAAGGTACCTGGTGGCACTCCTGGTGGGACCAGCAGGTCATTGTGACCGTGTTCACAGGGTCTCAGGTTGAGGGAAGTGACAAGGATCTGACTCCATGTTTCAGCAGGCTTAATTTATTATTTTATGATATAAATTACATTAAAAATACTAAATACTAATACTAATAAATAGTATTAATAATACTACTACTATTATTACTAATTATTACTAATATATAGTATTATTGCTAATATATAGTATTATATATAGTATAGTAATATATATAGTATACTTATAAAGTATATATATTATGGTATATATATCATATATATATATGTATATATATAGTATATATATTATAGTATATATATAGTATAATAATATATAGTATTATTACTAATATATAGTATTAATAATACTACTAATACTAAATATACTAAAAGAATAGAAGAAAGGATTTCATCAGAAGGCTAGCTAAGAATAGAATCAGAAGGAATGATAACAAAGGCTCTGTCTTGGACTCTCTGTCCGAGCCAGCTGACTGTGATTGGCCATTAATTAGAAACAACCAGCATGGGCCAATCACAGATGCACCTGTTGCATTCCACAGCAGCAGATAACCATTGTTTACATTTTGTTCCTGAGGCCTCTCAGCTTCTCAGGAGAAAAAATCCTAAGAAAATTATTTTCATAAAAGATGTCTGCGACAAGTCACCCGCCCCATTGCCTCTCCCTATGATAATCCTATCCTGGGCATGTGGATTTGGGAAAAAAACTTTTAGAGACCCTCCAGGGATGGAGAATCCAATTCCATGTTGTTTTACCCTGCACACAGGGGTTCCTCCTGGGGTGGGAGAAGCTCTGTCCAGTACAGGTTGAGCAGGGTCATCACCAGCCCATCTCTAGTACCAGACTGGGTTTTTTCATTCCTTGAAGAGGGTTTGGTGAGGGAAACCTGAGAGGGACTCAAACTCTGTGTCCCTGACAAGCTTCTTCTCATCTTTTGGTCCTCTCCCCACCTCAACAGTCAGTGCAGGGGACTGGCCTGGCCTTCATTGCCTTCACAGAAGCCATGACCCACTTCCCAGCCTCGCCCTTCTGGTCTGTCATGTTCTTCCTGATGCTGATCAACCTGGGCTTGGGGAGCATGATTGGGACCATGTCGGGCATCACCACTCCCATCATCGACACCTTCAAGGTGCGCAAGGAAGTGTTCACAGGTGAGGCCTCTTCTCCTACAACCTCCTTGGGAAGGGCTGGGAGGTCCCTGCTGCCTTGAGGAGTCACTCCAGAAGAGGGTGGACATGGTGGGGGGTGAACTGGGCTATGCCCATGCAGGGAATGGACCTTCTGGAGGTCTTGGTGTCCCTCAGGAGGTTCTGCTGACCAGGCCCATGCAGGGAATGGACCTTCTGGAGGTCTTGGTGACCCTCTGGAGGCTCTGCTGACCAGGCCCATGCAGGGAATGGATGTTTTGGAGGTCATGGTGTCCCTCAGGAGGCTCTGCTGACCAGACCTGTTTGCTCCCCACAGTTGGTTGCTGCATCTTCGCCTTCGTGGTGGGGCTGATCTTTGTGCAGCGTTCTGGAAACTACTTTGTCACCATGTTTGATGATTACTCAGCCACACTGCCGCTCACCGTGGTGGTCATCCTGGAGAACATCGCTGTGGCCTGGATTTACGGCACCAAGAAGTAAGGAATTTCTACAGCAAAAGGAATAACTGGGGTGTAACTCCTGACTAGAAACCTCTCCTTCCACCTCTTGGGTTTTTCTTCACGAGGAAATGCTCCAAGGGTAGTTAGAGAGGCAGGAGTTTGGTTCATTCTGATCCTCCTGTTCTGTCCTGGTGTAACACAGCCCCAGGAGTGGGTTCTTCTCATGGGTTTCTCCTCTTGGTTGTGATGCTCTGTTACTTGCGATGACCCATTTTTCTGAGGTTTCCAGGTCCTCCTGGAATGGGAGGCTGTTCCCTGCAGTTCTCCTTGTTCAGAAGTTGTCCAAAGCAAAGGCAGCTCTGGATAACACTCAGATGGTCTTGTCCTGAGGAGTTTTCCACAAGTTCTTCAGGCTTGAGGGATGCTGAGATGGTCAGCTGGATTCTTCAGGCTGTACCTTGAGCATCAGCAGGGTTCCTGGGAGGTTGTTTCTCACTCAGAGATGGATGTTGGGGACACCCTTGAGGGGCTTCTCCTAAGTTACACCCCATTGGCTCCTTCCCCTGTTCCTATGCCTGAACAGAGGTGTTCCTGAGGCTCTCCCTCCCTTTNACAAAGCCTGGATGTGGCACTGGGTGCCAGGGCTGAGTTGAGGGGTTGGGGCTGGAGTGGACTCAATGATCTTGAAGGTCTCTTCCAACCCAGTGATTCAGTGAGTTCTGTGACTGGGATAAGTGTCTGCCACAGCTGGAGGAGCAGCAGTGCCCAGGGAGGGCACAGGAGGTGGCACAGGGCTCTCCCTGTCCCAGAGGACATCCAGGACCCAGCTCTGGGGGTGACATCCCCCAGGAGTGATGCCCAGGGCACTGGGGCAGCTCTGACCCTGGCACAGCCCAGGGCTGGGGGAGCAGGGATGGAGATCCCAGCTCAGGGCCATGCCAAGAGCTCGGTGTGGTGTCACTGTGGTGTGAACCAGCCCAACTCTGCCCATCCTGTGCTCCAAGGGGCTGAGAGGGGCCATAAAATTCCAGTGCCAGGGCTTCCTGAAAACAGGTAAGAAAAACAAATGGGAAAAGGCAATTCTGGTCCTTGGGGGCTGGAAAAATGGCCCAGAAATGGGCCCAAATGTGGAATTTGAGGCAAATACATTCTATTTTAAAAACCCCATAAATATTGAACTTCAAGCCCCATAAATATTGAACTCTCTGTGACAGTGATGGAGAGAGGTTTCAGAGCCTGCTGGGAGGTGAAGGATGCTGCTGTGGATGTGGATTTTGGATGTCCCATCTCAAAACAATTCCGGAGCAAGCTCCGGGCTCGAGGTGGGTTCAGACACGAGGTGGAGCTGCTACAGCAGCATCTGCTCTGATTCCCGGGCACCTCGGGAAGGAAAAGGACACCCTGATGTGATTCCTGGGCACGTCGGGAAGGAAAAGGACACTCTGATGCTTACAGACAGGGAAACTGAGGCACAGCCCCACCGCAGGAACCGCTCCGGCTCATTCCACAGCCAGACCATCCCCAGCGCTGTCCCCACTCCAGCCCAGCCCCCTCCCGGCCCCAAGCTGCTTTTATGGAGCGAAATTGCATCAGCCATGCCGAGGATGGAGCCAGATCCTGCCCAGACCCCGCCGGGCTCCGGCGCCCGAGTTCTGCCTGCCGGGGCTCCAGAGGAGAGCGCAGGACACGAGGTGGCACTGTGTGACAGAGCGAGGTGGCACTGTGTGACAGAGCAGGGTGGCACCGTGTGACAGAGCGAGGGACACGCTGGGAATTCGGGGAGCACTCCCACCCGGGAATTCGGGGAGCATTCCCCACCCGGGAATTTTGTGAGTTCGCCTTCCAGGCTGAGTTCATTCAGGGATGGGCCTGCAAAGTCTGGCAGTGCAACCTGCACTGCTGAAATGAGGAATTGTGGCTGAAAAATTCACCCGGCATAAACAGAGCTTGTGCATGGTTTGTGACAGCTCTTTTTGGGAAGATCCAGCTCCAACAGAGAGTCTAGAGAGGTTTCTTGGGGATCACAGCCTGGGTGCCACCACACACAGGTCAGAGATGGATCCCACCAAAAACACGAGGGCAGAGACCTCGTTCGGAGCATCCAGGGGTTCCTGAGGACAGCACATCTTTCATTAACGAGATTCTGGCCTGGAAGGACCTGCAGAGGTTGCTTTGGCTATTTCTACACCAAAACAGGATTGTGTCTCCCTAAACTGCTGCAGTACATCCTCCTCCTCCTCTGTCCTTCCATGGACAGAGACCTTGAGGGGTCCCAGATGAGATCCCCACCCTGGGGATGCCACCACACATGGGGACACTGCCATGGCCATGAATCAAACCTGTCCCCACGCAGGGGCAGCTGTGGGGAGGCAGGGAAGGTCATTTGGGCACCATCTGGAGATGTTGGTGCAGCACCGACAGAACCAGAGGTCACAATCTCCAGCTGCACCAAGGGAAATACAGGTTGGATATCACGAAAAAGTTTTTTACAGAAAGGGTGATAAAGTTCTGGAATGGCTCCCTGGGGAGGTGGTGGAGTCACCGTCCCTTGGGGTGTTTAACAAAGCCTGGATGTGGCACTGGGTGCCAGGGGTGAGTTGAGGGGTTGGGGCTGAGTTGGACTCGATGATCTTTGAGGTCTCTTCCAACCTGGTCATTCAGTGAATTCAGTGAATTCTGTGACACAGCTGGAGTAGCAGCAGTGCCCAGGGAGGGCACAGGAGGTGGCACAGGGCTCTCTGTGTCCCAGAGGAATGTGTCCCCAGCCTCTCTGGGGGCCACTCAGCCCCCTGAGCATCCTGTGCTCTGTCTCCTGTTGGTCCCTCCCCACCTCTGGGGTTGTCCCTGATGTGCAGGACCTTGTGCCAGGCTCAGGGTGCTGTGCTGGCTCAGGGGAGGAGGCCACGGTGACCCAGAGAGCCCTTCCCATGCCCTCAGGACCCACCCAGGGCTTTCCAGGTTAGAGCTGATCCTCCTCGAGATCTTCCAGGTCCTGCTCTTCATTCCATCCTTTGGACGTTACCTGACATGCCTTGAGCCTTGCAGGACATCCCTGCAAAAGTGACTCCTTGCTCCAAAAAGGCCCTTATTTATTTATTTATTTATCCAGCTCTTTCCATTCTATTTTCTCTCCTTCTCTCTCTCTATTTTCTTTTTTTTTCCCCTTTTTTTTTTTTTTTTTTCCTGAAATCTTCCAGGTCCTGCTCTTCATTCCATTCTTTGGATGTTATCTCAGATGCCTTGCAGGACATCCCTGCAGAAGTGACTCTTGCTTCAAAAGGGCCCATATTTATCCAGCTCTTTCCATTTTTTCTCCTTTTCTCTCTCTATTTTCTTTTTTTTTCTTTCTTGAGATCTTCCAGGTCCTGCTCTTCATTCCATCCTTTGGATGTTATCTGAGATGCCTTGAGCCGTGCAGGACATCCCTGAAGAAGTGACTCTTGCTGCATAAAGGCCCTTATTTATTTATTTATCCAGCTCTTTCCATTTTCTCTCCTTTTCTCTATTTTCTTTTGCTTTTATTTTTTTCCTGAAATCTTCCAGGTCATGCTCTTCATTCCATCCTCTGCACGTTATCTCAGTGCCTTGAGCCTTGGGTGTCCCATGCAGGACATGATTCTTTCCTCCAGAAAGTGATTCTTTCCTCCTCCAAAAAGGCCCTTATTTATTTATCCAGCTCTTTCTATTTTCTCTCCTTTCTCTCTCTCTATTTTCTTTTTTTTTTCCTTTTTTTTTTTTTTTTGAGATCTTCCAGGTCCTGCTCTTCATTCCATCCTTTGGATGTTATCTCAGATGCCTTGCAGGCAAGAAGTGACTCTTTCCTCTTCCAAAAAGGCCCTTATTTATCCAGCTCTTTCCATTTTCTCTGCTTCTCTATTTTCTTTCCTTTTTTTTTTTCCTTTCCCACGGACATTAAAAATCAGAAGGCATATTTCGAGAGAGCAGACAGCTTTGGGCGGGTGTTGCTGGCTAAAAGATCTCTTCCTTCCCCAGAAACAACTCATTTGTCTGCTTGGCCACCTCCTCCCACCCCAGGAGCGGCCGCGCTCGGGTGAACGGAGCTTTTCCTGGCGGGATGAAAGTCGGCAGATAAAACAGATAAACCATCAGCATCAGGTCGCAGCATCCCTCACTCCTGGCCTGCTCAGGAGCCGAGCTGCGATGCCTGGCCGGTGATGCAAGGCTCGATCTTTCCAGCACGCTTTTCCCTCGGGCTCCAGGCTCTCCCGCGGGTGCAGCTCGGGCTGGTTCGGGTGTGGAGCCTCGGCAGCCTCCACCCGCTCCGGAGCCGGCCCTGGCAGCTGCGGAGTTGCTGTCACACTTGGAGCTTTCTTGGGGCTTTCTCGGTGGTAAGATCGCAGCGTGGCTCTCTCGTGCCTCGTGGGTTTTTTGGGGTGGAGCGTTTTCTCCGGCTGGCCCCAGTGCTCAATGGATTTTGGGGGGCGCATCACAAACAGGGGGGACAAACCTGGGCAGGGGGTGAGGAGGGGCCCTGGTGGGGTGTCAGGGAGGTGCAGAGAGGGGTGCTGAGGCAGCATTCCCCCCTCCTTGTCCCCAAAAACCCCCTTACTGAGTGCTGCCCCTCCTGGGTGAGCCCCCCACCCCAATGCCAGGCCTGTGCTGGGTTTGCATACCTTCTGTGACCCCAAAACATCTCCCACCCCTCAGTGCAGCAGTGCCAGTGCAGAAGTAAACATTGCTGGCAGGATGAGTGCAAACAAGGGTTTATCTACCTTGGGGGCAGCCTCAGCCCGGGGGCAGCACAGCCC